GGTTTAAAGTTAGTTTAAACGCTGTTTTAAACTAAATTATACAATTAAATGTCAGTCAGCGGCCCAAGATAAACGTAGGGGCATAAATTTGAAAGGTTAACTTCAGTATAATGTTGCATGCTTGCGAATGCTATAGCCTATTTATTGTGTCGTATGTTGAAACCAGAGACCGAAAATAATTATTCTATTATTTAGGATCAAAACCGTCGCCTTGTCTTAAGATAAATTTTTTTCGTCTTTGTATAATAATTATTTACGAGAAATATCTTTTTTCGTCTCACGGGACGATTATTTCAGGACGAATATTATTTACGTCTTCTCATAATATTTATATGGGCGTTTTATTTTTTTCGTCTCGAGGGACGTTTATTCCAAAACGAATATGTTTTACGTCGTCTCATCACAATTATATGGGCCTTTTATTTTTTTCGACTCTCGTTTATTTCAAAACGAATATGATTTGCGTCCCACGTTTTTTTTTAATAGAATTGGTACCCTTAAAGCCGACTTCACGAAACTTTTTAGTGGCAATTTAATTGTCATTTAATTAAAATTTAAATTTTTATTAAATTTTGCATTTAAGTTTTACTCCTTTCACCAATACACACGTGTCCTAATTCCGTTTTTCTGGCATAAATGAACTACTGCTGCTTCGAAGTTGAAATTTGGCGAAGTCAATCGTCATGATCGGGCCACGCCCACCTTGACCGCCCATACAACATTATTTGGAGCTTTAAAGATTTTCAAAGAGAAGTGAGTAAATTTTATACGTATTTATATAAAGTAAAGTTGCAAAAGTGGTGTAACACATTTACTCAAAAACCTCTGGACCGATTTTGACGAAATTTTGACATAAGACATAGATATTTGGAGACGGTTTAAATTATGTTAGTTTGCTATCCGGTAAACACCTATTAACAAAGTTAATGCAATTAAGTTAAATTAATTACTTCAATATGGAATACGTATCACAATATGGGAATCAGGCCATGGTACAATTATTAAAGGTATTGTCTTCCCAGAGGGTTTTGCTTCACATCGAAATTCGTGCTCCCTTATTTTCATTTTGACGCAGTTCAATGTTGATTCTTTTACTTTTATTTGGCTTTGCTTTTTGTTTTCGCAATTTAATTTAAATAATTTTTCAAAACAAAAGAAAAAACTTTTGAAATGAAGTGAGCCATACAAATTTTGAATTTATTTACAAGCAAATGTTTTTTTCCGGCTTTTGCAAATTAAATAAGTTTTCTGCAAGATGGTTTGTTTAAAATAATACGGGTACATATATGATTAATGGGGCATGGAAATATCCATTTTCCCTAGCAGTAAACGTTTTAGTGTGGGCAAANAATTTTTATTAAATTTTGCATTTAAGTTTTACTCCTTTCACCAATACACACGTGTCCTAATTCCGTTTTTCTGGCATAAATGAACTACTGCTGCTTCGAAGTTGAAATTTGGCGAAGTCAATCGTCATGATCGGGCCACGCCCACCTTGACCGCCCATACAACATTATTTGGAGCTTTAAAGATTTTCAAAGAGAAGTGAGTAAATTTTATACGTATTTATATAAAGTAAAGTTGCAAAAGTGGTGTAACACATTTACTCAAAAACCTCTGGACCGATTTTGACGAAATTTTGACATAAGACATAGATATTTGGAGACGGTTTAAATTATGTTAGTTTGCTATCCGGTAAACACCTATTAACAAAGTTAATGCAATTAAGTTAAATTAATTACTTCAATATGGAATACGTATCACAATATGGGAATCAGGCCATGGTACAATTATTAAAGGTATTGTCTTCCCAGAGGGTTTTGCTTCACATCGAAATTCGTGCTCCCTTATTTTCATTTTGACGCAGTTCAATGTTGATTCTTTTACTTTTATTTGGCTTTGCTTTTTGTTTTCGCAATTTAATTTAAATAATTTTTCAAAACAAAAGAAAAAACTTTTGAAATGAAGTGAGCCATACAAATTTTGAATTTATTTACAAGCAAATGTTTTTTTCCGACTTTTGCAAATTAAATAAGTTTTCTGCAAGATGGTTTGTTTAAAATAATACGGGTACATATATGATTAATGGGGCATGGAAATATCCATTTTCCCTAGCAGTAAACGTTTTAGTGTGGGCAAAAATGATATTTTTTAAATAAGGCAGATCGGTATGTGCGCTCTCTGGGAAGACACTACCTGTAATTATTGTACCATGGTGTCAGGCGAGGTTGGTTGTAGTCAAGGCGTATTTAACAAGGTGGTGTTGGCCGTATATAAGTAAAAAATTACACTAACAAATTATACGCTGATGTCCATACTGTCATTGGTATGAGTTACAACAAACACATCATTTTGACGTAATGGCCTCCACGGCGAAAAACTCAGCTGTCGCCCCAACACCACCTTGTTTAATACACCTTGGTTGTAGTCTGAAAATATGTACACGAAGGCGTCAAAATAGGTTTCAGAAAGTTTGACTTTGAAAATTTTTTGATGAGGGTTGCCAACTATTTAATTATTTAATAACTTTATTGATTTATTACAATATGGATATCTATCGAAAGAGCTTTGAAATGCTTCATATCTAAACTACATAAAGTAGGGTCGCCATCTGTTTAAAAAGTCAAACTGAGCTTGAATTAAGGGAATTAGGTAATTTAGATATGTATCACAATCGGCATCAGACGAAAGAGCTGGAAGCTTTTAGTTTGAAAATAATATTTTGATGTGGGTAGCCAACTATTTGAAAAGCCGAATTTAATTTAAATATACACAAGTTATAAGATATATTAAAATATAGATGGATGTCAAACGTAAGGGTGCAATGAAATCTTTAGTTCGTCCTTGTCTTTCTCTTTATCCCTTCCTCGGTCCATCATTATCTTTGATTCTGTGTATATCCTTATCTTTGCCTTCCCCCGTTTCCGATTAAGAAGCTTCACATCAATTATTTGAATTTCACTTTTTAATAAGGTGGCAACCCCCTTACGTATAGTTAAAAAAATAAAATAATCATAACCCTTCGGATTGATATCCATATTATACTTATAACTTTTCTAATAATCTTAATATTTTGAATTTAATTTCTATTATGTGGCAAACCTTTTCTGAAAAATAAAACCGTACTGCACCAATCTCTTCAATTCTCGATGCAGATGTGGTGACGGTGGGTTAAGTATTTCACGAAAACATCTCCGAACTCGATTATTTGCATTTCATTTTCTAACATCTGGCAACCCTTTTCAAAGAACCAAACCACGTAAGAGCAAAGCCCTTTAATATATATCTTACTAATCTTACTTCTTACTAATTACTAATTGTCCGCAGGCTCAACTAACGGTAGGCCCAGGAGATTTGATATTTCAATGAGGTAGAACCAGCGAGAGGGGGGGATGTTAGTTGAGTTGGATTGAGTGCGCATGTGAAGAGGTGGTCGGTGTCAAGGGAGGAATCTCCACATGCTGGACACTCATTTTCGATGTTGGGAGGCGAGTTGGGCCAGAGTTACGCTGGTATCTCGTGGCTGTTGAAGCTCATTCTCGTTCACAGGTGGTGATTGGCACTGATGATGGCATTCACTTGACTGGAGTTTGCAAATACCGTTAATAACCTGTCTGTACAGTCCCAGTCCCAGGGGTGCTGTGCGTAGTGCTGGACCTGGTCCTTCAGCTCAAGCAAGTTCGAGTGCTGACAACTGTAGAACCTTACTGGGAGAATTTCGGCTTCACTGTGGATGTGATGTTCTGGCGACATCAGAAGACATCCGCTGGTTGTCCAGGGTGTTGTATTGTGGCATGTCTTTAGCTTCGTCCACTGCGAACCAATTGTCCCCGGAGAACACACAGGCGCTGCATAATTTAGAACCGGACGGCTTTGTATGTTTGCAACACCGTTTCTTTGTCTTTGGCCAAGTACTGCCGAATTGAGGACTACGGCTCTGTACTTTGTTGGCAATTTCGGTTGTATGCGCCGGAAACGAGAGCTAGATCTGACAATTTTCCGGTTATTCACCGTTGGAATTAGTTTGCCATCGACGATAACACGCAGCTTTCGTCCTTGTGGTAAAATGGTTGCCGAGAGGGTTAGGCTCCTTGCAGTGAAGAAGCGATTTAAGCATAAGTCATCAATTTCATTTCCGGACACATTGTATTTTATTTTGCCTGGATGTCTTGTCGGGATTTTGAGTTGTTGGGATTTTGTCTTGTCGGAATAATGTGTTATCTGTATTTTATTTGGTCGGGATTTTGATAAGTCTGTATTATGTCCTGTCTGGATTTTGTATTGCGTGGATTTTTAAAAATTGTCTGGATTATGTCTAGTCGGGATCTTCAAAGTCGGGATTATGGAGTGCTCCCGCAGACAACAAATTAAAATAATATTATTTTTTTTAGAATGTTTCCTATTTAAAAAAGTAGCGGAAATTTTCAATATATTTTAAATTTTTTTTTTTAAGAAAGCGCCGCAGGCGAAAATTTGGAATAAATAATCGCGCGATTTTTTATTCCAAATTTTCAGTATTTCTTAAAATATACAGCCTCATTGCGTAAGTCGTAAATTAGGCTGAATTGTACGACTCGACTACATTAGCATTGTCTACTGTCGTGCTGAAATAAGTAAACGACAAAAATTGTCGAAAACTATGCAGCGCTGCCAAGTTCTTCCGTTTTAATACACTAGTCGAGTGGAAATTTTAGGCAATGACGCTAAATTTTCGATACGATTCGACTCTCGAAAAACGACTTGCATTCGGCACGACTCTCGCAATGAGGCTGATAATTTAATATAAAAAAACGCCGCAGGCTAAAATTTGGAATAAAAAATCGCGCGTCTTTCATGTTTAGTTTGGCAATACAATGGAAATATATTCAATCTAATATCAAATTTGATAAAAGAGCAAGTTTTTGTAGAAACTAAAATTGAAAAGGTGCTTAGTGGAGAAAAACAAGCTAAACGGCGACGCCTGGAAAACANAAAAAAAATAAAAAATAGGAACAAGGCTCAGAATACACTATCAGCATTTTTTTAAATTCGTTTGAATTAAATTAACTAAGTTGTATTTAAATGGTCTAAATTGCGGTGTAGCCAAGAATTTTTGCAAACTAACCCAACGGTGACGCATAATAATGGTAACGGGCTACATATTTGATATCATCGTTGTGCGCATTGACACGACCGCGCAAAGATTCGATGATGCGAATCTGTTTACCGTCGATGTAAATTACAATAATGTCTCTCTGAGCATAACCGCCAGTCGCATCAATGTGGCCGAATTTCGTTCCGGACGCAGTTACGAATTTGATTCCTCTCCGGAGGAATTACGTGCGGACATGGAGGCTAATCCACTTAGGATTACTGTGAAATATGACAATGCGATCATAGGTAAATATGTATGTACATTATACCGGGCCGGTACTCAAGAAAAAAAAACGAAAATAAATTAAACTAGGGAGGTTTGAAAGAAGATTTCGGCCCCATGAAAATATGTGTACTTGACCCGTCCGAAAACAACCAAAAGTGGGGTTTCCTTAATTGCATTTTTTATTTACCACCCGATTTTAAAATTTTTTTTTTGTGGTTTGTTTTTACAGGATCTGGAGCTTTGATATGGCCAGATTCTGTGCTCAACAAAGTAGCCGACTCGTCTAATGAAATCACACATATTGACGAATGCCAGCTCGTTTTGGATGATGATATAGTTGGCATTGTTGAAGTAATCGTGCGACTAAAGTGTAAATGCCAAGATAATTGGTAAGTTCAAATGAAGCCTTTCACTTTCTCAGCAAGATGGTAATTGTTGTTTCCGCATATAACGCCGGCGCAGTGACGATTTTATGGGTGACCGCGATGACATACGACATCACTTGGATAAGGTGATCAATCCGCATGATATTCTCTTTGTGGTCGGTGATACGAATAAAGATGACGAATGCACCGGCCTACTGCCCGACTCTAATCAGTCCTGTGATGGTGATCGATTTACCACAGCACTCGACTTGTCGCGCTATCGTGCCATGAACGGACGTTTAGTGCCGACAATTGACATTCTGAACACCTGCGACAATGCGGAGTGCTGTGAGCTGAAGGTATGTAGAAGTAGTGTTTTCTCCTGAATCAATAGTATACATTTTCTATGCGTCTTCATACAGAAAATGTCAAACACATATCAAAAGCTGATCGATTCCATATCAACAGCAAACGATAAGCGTTCTTGTCGTGCATCTGTTCATATGCGCGATTGTCCTCATGAGAATAAATTTTCCTCGAGCAGTACCAGAGACAGTTCAGGTGGGGAAACAACCCGGTTCAGCCTTCTCATGCACAAGTTCAAGCCGCAGAGTTAGGGGAATCCAATAGTTTGATTAGTTCTAGTGTGAGCTATTAATTTAAAACAAATATATCCAACGTTTGATAATATAGGTACAAGACCGCGTATCGAAATTGCGCAAAACCTCTTAACTGACTTTTGTCCCAAAAAAATACATTGGCTCACCGGAAGTTCCTTATCCATTCATACTAAAATAGAGAGAATCGTTTTGAAATAGGAAAAGTTTTACTCTTTCCAATAAAATCAAGGCAACCTCACATACGAGGGTTTGCATTTTGCCTCAGTATATTTCCTCGGCTTAGGGTATGATTAGAAAGATACCTGTATGACTACTTCCCAGAGATAAAGGATATGTACCGGTGGATCAATCAGCATTTTCTCAGCCAAACGACTGCAACGCCTTTCATGATGCAATTTTTAATTTTAATTTCTTTTAATTTCTTAAAAACTTCAAGCATCTTTTTATACATATCACTTCTACTTTAGTAAATCGGGTGCCTTTTGCTTACAATTCCTTCAGGTAGACATAGGAGCTGTTGTTGGTTTCTGTGAATTAAGCTTAGGTACTATTTTCGTCGCGAATTTTTCATCTAGGCGCAGATTATAGTTGTTATTCCATTTCATATGCAAGCATTAGTGTGCGTGTGTGCTCATATGTTAACCGATATGTAAATTTACACACCCAAATTAATTATTTTCTACATTTATTTATCATATTTTAAACGTAGAAAAGAAATAGAAAAAGGTTTTAACTAATCGCACGAAATCGGCATTTTGTAACATAGTGCGGCGTCGTCTAAGGCATTCCGCACATTACGCGCCTAATCATAGTATAGTAATTGTTTCCTCATGCCGAAACGAATGCATGACGGCTCCACTTCTGCACACTTGCGCGCCTTGCATTAGCCATGGTGGCACACACATTACACATTTTCTGGCCGTTTTTTCTGAGTTATACATTTCCGCGTATTATTCTGCAGTAAAATATTGCATAAGCGTTTATGGTTTAATACAATAGGCATGAGTTTTAGCACAAAATCATTAGTTTTCAATTATTTCCTATTGAAATGACAAATAATTTTTATTTGTGTTCGGCATAAATGCTTCATACTTTAGTATGCCGGAACGATTACACTACTAGGACTAGTCGGAGTGCCTAAGAATAGCAACGAGTTCTCAGCAAAAACTGCCGCGAGGACCAAGAGCTCCGTAGCTTCATTTAGGTTAGGAAATGGTTCAGCAGATTATTCTCCTCCTCTTTGAAAAGGAGCTCTGATTATGGAAATTTACCTTCCTCTGGCGTTTACAGTAGCCAAAAATGTCAACGAAAGCACTAACAACAGCCTTCAGCCCACAGTCCCAAAACTACCGAAGTGTAAAGTTATATCACCTTTTTTTGTTTTTTGCTAGAGCTTCGCAAATATTGCAAAAAACGCGATTTTTTATTACTTTGACCACGTTTTTCTCAAAATCTGGCCGTGATGGAAACTTTTTACTTACGGATTCGAAGTCAGCATGGAAAAGTCTATCAAAAACTGCTTTAACATTTTAGGTTACAAAATCGTTTCCAATTTTTGTTGGCCTGTGTTATTTTTAATCGCTTCAATAACACCAATGCCTTCCCGTAGAGACAAACCTTTGGTTTTAAATATTTGTACCTAAGCAGAACTGGAATTGGAGTTACGAGTTAAAAACAAAAAACCAAATCGGTTTTTATGTTATTACTAGCAGACCTTGCGGACTTCCTCCCGCCCAAAATTAATGTTTTTATTTAAACATTTGGCCCAACGTTTTTACCAACAATTCACGTCCACGTTTGGTCTCGTGGTCGTCTGAAGGCATATCCTCCACTGCCGTCCCAAATATCCTAATGAAAGCGTTTTGTCCGTGAAGAAGTTCTTGCGGCAAAAATTATCTGTGGATTTATTTCTGAATTTGAAGTTTGGCGTAAAAAGCTTTGCAGTTCTCTTGTTTCAAGTTTAGTGTTTTAAAAAGGCGAGTGTCGAATATTTTTCGAATCACTTTAAAACTCGGAGCGATAAAAATACCCCGAAGTCAAATGTACCAGTTGTAAACTGCCCCACGACTAGTATGAACCACATGCCCAACTAGTCAGCCAACTACCTTTTTTCCATGCAATCACCTAGTAGCTTTAAAATGGGGATGTCCTACAAGATGGCAACTGTCAGATTTCGGTCAGAAATAAATCACTCTCATACTAGTTCAAAATAGGCAGAAAAATACTAGCCTAATTATGGGCCGAAACCACTACTTTGGGAGTCAAAAAATAAAATGAATTCATGAATATACAATAAAAAACGTTTGCTTATTATACTTTAATATATTACACATTTTTATTTAGCAGCCTTAGGCCCACTTGCAGAACATCACGTTATCTATTTCACTCGAAGTTTACTGGTTAAATTGATAAATTGGCTTGCACAATCAATGGTTAGGAGTAAAATTAGAGTTAAATCGTTAAATATTTAGCCCAGCAATTTTCGAAAGTTAACTTCCTATCTCTACGTATGTCAATTCTGTCAGTAACAAGAAAAAATAAATTGAGATTTAAAAAATATTTTTGAAAACATACTATGTACATACATACATACATATTCACGTATTCAATATTCCACCTTCAGCTCTGAGGTTTTGGTCAGTCTGGCGTAAAAAATATATGCGATTAAAATGCACCAACCGTGTTAGTAGTCCATCCAATTAAGAGAACTCTCGGAAGTGCCGCTGGCCAATTTACAATTTGTACCTATTTATGTATGTATGTATGTATGGAAGTGTTTGAAATTCTATATTCAAATTCTTATAAGAAATGTAAATAAACGTCAAAAAAGAGAGAGTGGTGCCTACTTAATTTAAAAATCCCTCGGGTTACTTAACTCTGGGCCAGTTATCAATGCTGCAAGACAATGTCTGGTTAAGGAATATAACAATTTAACTCTGAGCTACTTATCTCTCTATTTATACATTTAACTCTGAATGTTCTGCAAGTGGGCCTTAGATTTGCCACTAATTCGTGTTAAATTTTTTAGTAGTAAATTTTTATCTTTTTAATAATTTAATATTACATTTATGCAAAAAAAAAACATTTTAGTTAAATATAAAATAAATACTTTAGTTCATTCTCGAGCCAACTTAAATAAAAATAAAAGTTTTCATTAAATTAAATTAAATTCATTAACTTTGCACATTTCAGTCCATTTTGATTTTAAGATTTTATAAAAGTTATAATTAAAATTTGAGATTTGGATAAGAATAAAATAAATAAATAATTCATGCAGTTATTAAATATTATTAGTTTTTGTCTATAGCTTGGCTAGTTGATTGATAATTGAAATTAATCAGATAATTATATTAAGTCAAAAAATAATTGAAAATTATCAAAAATAACAAAATAAGCATGTATTTAAAACTAATGAATTAATTAGCAATTTTTAATTATTTATTAATCATTAAAAAGGTGCTAATATTGGTATTTAATCATAACACGGCTATCCAAAAACATGTTTTAATTATTAGTCATTATGATTATTTATCGTTACTTAACAGGTCTGGTATAATTGAATATGTACTCTAAGGGTTTACAATATACCCAAATAAAAGTTATAATATTTTGTGTACTTTGTTGTATTAAACTGTCGAAGTCAAATAAAACCGGGCATGACAGGAAAATTCTAGATGTAAACTAGTATTTTTCCTGACTAGTTTGGGGTTTCACTGCAGGGTAAAAATGATGCCATCAACACAGATAAACTATTTGACAAATATATCACATGCAAATTCATGAGTGAGCCGATCTTGTGAGGAGTTTATTTATTGCTCTTAAAAATATAACTCCTCAGAGCGAGATAGTTCTTTCATGGCTTTACGAGCTCTGTTCTTTAAAACTTGCAAGTGTGTAATCACATTGTTTTAATAAAAATAACACAAGAAAATATTTAATTTTTGTTTTTGCCACTCCGACTTTAGTTTTGGAAATCACCCGCGATGCAAAATTACATCGTTAGATTTAATTTTTTTTTTTTTTGATGAGCTTTGGGAATATGTTAGAAATGAGCATCAGGGAGTCCACCGAAACCAGTCAAATTTTGAAGGGGGTCTGCGAGAAAAATAAGTTTGGGAACCTCTGGTATACTATGTAATATACCTCTGCAATTTTGCAAGATAAACTAAAAATGTATACATCGTTGCAGGCTGTAATTACCGAAGAAGTAAGCGTCTTGGCTGTTCACCAGACCGGTCTATAGTTTTATCAATAATCTCAGATTGGTTTTCTCATACAACCTTTCGATCTACACTCAGAAGACACAAACGTAAAACCAACGTAATAAACAATTGAACTATAAATTTAATTATTAGTTTGCCGTTCAATCCATTTTCGCTCATTGTCGACTACAGCCAAGTTTTTACCCTTCATAAATGGAATTACTTTGAAGTTAGCGAGAATAACTTGAAACAGAACCGGACAATCCATATATTCACTTTTTTGATTATGAAAATTTACAAATCACTACTAAGTTGACGGGTTGAGTAATCATTGACGGTTTCTTACGTAAGTTAAGTGAAGCCTAGGCTAACTATACTATAAGGCATACCTGTGCATGTGAAGGCTACGCTCAAAACCACAACAGACTTCATTAATTTTTTACACTTAGATTGCAGATTTCCATGTTCTTGCTTTGCCAACCAACATACGGAGGATGGTGCTTTCGCCGGCGAAAAGCTCATCAATATTTGTCCCACAGTGGCACCGAACACTAATCAAATGGTCATGCACACACCGAAGTAAAACCTTCTATGAAAGGATAAGTAGTCGTTATTGATATTAATCTCGTCTTCCAGGCACTGCCCGGTTTGCAAGACAAATATTTCTTGGCTACCCAAACTTGCCTGCTGTCCAAAATGTGGTTATAAGCCGGTACCGTACGTAGAAGAGAAACCGTACAATGAAAAACTGACCGCTGATCAAATACTTCAAGAGTATCTGGACAAACAGTCGAGTGGCACCGATCAAAAAATAAGCGACTGCTGCCGAGCTGAAAACGAGGAGATACCCTCCTCTACCGACAAAAAAGAATGTCGATGCACATGCAAGAACGGCAAGGTGTGCGCTCATTGCCGAATACGGAAGTTGTGCGAAGATATCTTTCAACCGCCACGGCCGCCGGAAGAACCCAAAAAGGACTGTGGTAAATGCGAATCGGAGGAAATGTTCAACGTATGTAAGACAAGCAGCAAGGACTGTCGCCCTTATCTGGCCCGCGTATTCTCCGAGCTGAGAGATTTGTATGACCTCAAAAAAGCACAATACAAACCTTTCAAACAAGATGAAAGATGCGAGAAAGAGTTACAAGGGTCAGGACGAAACCAAAAGAAACGCCCTCAAGGAGATATTTCGGGAAATTCAGAAAAGCAGAAAAGAGATAACCAGAATGACAAACAAATGCCTAGGCGAAAGAAAAAAAGGCAGCCGAGAGCAGCAACGTCTAACTCAAAAACCAGCAACAATGAAAAGAAGTCGTAAGCATGCAATGAGAATTACAAGTATTATGATTACAAATTCTTATGATTCATAATATTAACCTTTTCAGATATTCTTATGGTGGTGGTCATTTTTCTCCGGTCAAGGATGCTCGTCCCCAAAAACGCAACAACAATGGATGTTTCAACCTTGGCAAAAAGAATGTACCGCGAAATATGGGATGGCTGTGGAATTTAGATACAAGTGGCAAACGACGTGGTTGGAAGCCGGGCGCTATACGCAAACCCATCAAAGAGATCATGAGATTCTTTCTGAAAGACTACCCAGCAGACACAATACGTGTCTCGCAGTACGCCTACCGCGACCAAGGCAAAGGTGATGGCAAAGAGTCGGAGGAGCAAATAGTTCAGCGGCCCACATTACATATATGCAAAAAGAATGATGAATATTTCATAACATTGCGACCGCTTAAGGATCCTGAGGCACTCAAGGAATGTGCCGATCCGTACCTCAATATGAAACCCATACAATTTAAAATAACCAAAAATCCATTAATGGTCGAAATGAGTAAATTGAAGCGTTGCCTCAAAGACATGGGCTTCGCAAAATGCACCTGTCACAAACCAGTGGTTGAGTGTTTCTGTCGGAGCTTCTTGGATAAAAAGCGATTGGAATATCAAGTCAGCAAGGAGTGCAGAAAGCGTCAAATATCCTGCTGCAATAGCACATTGGTTTTGTCCGACACTACAGACTCAGATGTGGAATTCGATTTCGGTGTGACACCACCTGCGGGCGTGGTAAAACCGGAGAGACTTAAGAAGCCTCATCTTGTGAACCATGGCACGCAGTATGTAGAGAATGACTGGAATGTCCAGCCAAAGTATCCGCTACCACCCAACCGTTTTATGAAATCATACAACTGCGCAACCGGTGCGCACTACGATTTTAGCGGAGGAAGTGGGTGGGGCGGTGGATGGCTTGGTGCTCCCAGTGGAGGCTGGGGTCCTGGTGGTGGTAGAGGTGGTTGGGGTCCTGGTGGTGGTAGAGGTGGTTGGGGACCTGGACGGGGTAGAGGAGTTTGGGGTCCTGGTGGGGGCAGAGGAGTTTGGGGTCCTGGAGGCGGTAGAGGCGGTGTACCTGGTGGTGGCAGAGGTGGACGTGGAAATGGAAGGTGGGGGCCAGGAGGCGCTGCCGGAGGCCCTGGGGGCGGAATAGGGCCCGAAGGAAAGCCTTTACCTGGCGGTGGTGGAAAGGGTGGCGGTGGAGGCCCTGGAGGTCCCGGAGTTCCTGGAAGCTCCGCATATCAAGCGTAAGTGCTTTATGCGCACTATGTTTATTACGTCCGTATTAGAAAATTTAACGAACTTAAGCTCCAAACAATTTTCGAATAGTAATTGAAGCAGATACTGGGCCGTATGAATAAAAACTAAGCAATTGCTTTTTCTTAAAATTGCATACCTTTTACTTCAATTTTGTTTGAATAAATTGAGTAAAAGATCTGAAATTTTAAGCACAAGCAAATGCTTANACTTCAATTTTGTTTGAATAAATTGAGTAAAAGATCTGAAATTTTAAGAACAAGCAAATGCTTGTTTTTATTCATACGGCCCACTATTTGTTATCAGGCAATAATTTAATAGTACCCGGACCTGCTGGAGACGATAAATTTTAAGTGTTGACGTGTTTGGCATTATTTTCAAAATTCTGCGTACGAAATTGCTAGTAACGATTTTAAGACCAAAATTTTAAATAAAAATGCTTAAATTAATGTTAAATTGAAGCGCGTTTGTCTGGGATCGAAAGCTTTTGGGCATGCATTGGCTTCCACTATTCGAGAATTGGACACGGAACGAAAATCGAATCACTTTGGATTATTAACAGTGTCTGACTTTTTCCACCTTTATAGGAGACTTCGACGTGAGCGTCTTACAGAAGTTCCTCCACCCTTGCTTTGTATGATTGATCGTCGTAGAAAACCGGATCCATGCACTTACCCATGTTGTTATCCGTGTTATCCAAGTTATTCGCCTTGCTATCCGTGTGGCGATTATTGTTATCCGTGTCCAGAACGAATATGTTAAGCCATTCATTTATAAATTCATAAAAGTAAAAAAAAAAACTTAAATAAGACTTTGATTATTGAAGGGAATATGGTGCAATAAACAGGTGATGTAATAAAGCAGTTTTCTCGCTTTCAAATATGGTAGTGTAAAATTTTTCTCCTCCCTCCCATTACTTCACTTGGAATAATTCCCCCATATCTCATATCCATGATCTCTTTTGATAGGAAACCCCCAATAATTAATATCACATTTTTCACCACAAAACCGTGGAAAGTGAATGAATTATTATCTAATAAGAACACTGTAGAAACGCTAAAATGGCACAAAAAAAGCCGAACACGCAAACTAACGTTTTTCTGGACCAAGTCATTTTCCCAAGATAATTTCATTTTAGATTTGCATTGTGAATGAAAAAAGTAAAACTTTTGCCTCAATACCATCGTACAGTTTCATAAGTAAGTGTGTTAGTGTTTGAATAACCCCGTAGCGAATGTCATGCATTAGTCACTTAAGTGTCTTGTACGGAAAAGTTACGTTTTAAATGACTTTGGGCTCCGTTTACATGGAAGTTGTTCATGACTTTCATTTAATGGTAATTTCGTCGTTGATGTCATCTACATGACTTTGTCATGCAGTGATTATTGATGGCATTCAAGCGACAGACAGTATCTTGCAATGGACTTTTTATAAGTGACCGCTGCAAAACATTGTCTGTTATAAGTCTTTGATAGGAGTACACCTGCACGAGATTGTCACCAGTGGNCCGCTGCAAGACATTGTCTGTTATAAGTCTTTGATAGGAGTACACCTGCACGAGATTGTCACCAGTGGGGCTGACTTCCAAAACGTCAATTGCTTTGCATACGTACAAAGTATAACGTTCAATAACGTCGAACTATAAAATGTTGACGATGTATACTTTTCCAAAACGCATCCTAAAATTTAACGAAACGCATCGCTAGCGCAATCAGCGCATCAGAAACAAAGTTGATGCTTCGTTTGTTATTGGTTACCCGTGGTGTTTTAAAAATGGAAAAATCATAAAATTGTTCATTGGTATATTGAGTATTCAAAATATGAAATGCATATGGTTGCAATGTGTCGCAACTCTGCATATACAAACAGTTTGAATACCGCTGTATAACAGTTTCCAAACATTGTATTGATACGTTTTGAAAACCAGCCTGTCATTGTCACCTATATGTCGTTTAGGATTCACAGCAAGTGCAACGATGTCACTAAATCCTCATTAGTGACGATGTCACCGCTGAACATTTTTTCTACTGGGAAATTATAGTAGAAATGGATGAAATTGTAAAAGATAACAACAGATGCCAAAAAAACAGGTGACCTCAGCTGTAGGCATTTTTTGGCAATCAGCTGATAGTGTTTTTACTTGGGAAACTGTACGACGCTCAATACGCTGTAGAAACTAAACGTAAAAAAAACTTTCCAAAACTACAAAATTATTTTAAAACACATCCCTGTTTATTTCTTATCGCGAACTCAATATAAAATAAGCGAAAAAAAACTTTTATTGTTTATTTTCAATGCAATTTGCAATTTCTATCGCTATTTTACAGCGTATTGAGCTTTAACAGGGGAAACAATAAAAAATTAGATACTCGTACACGTACGTGTAACATTCTTTCCAGCTCATCTATATCTATACATAGTATAAAGGGAAAGTCCAGATTATTTGTACGCGGTTATCTCGAAAAATACAGAACAGACTTTGACGAAATGTTCTGTAATATACTCTGTATCGACAGGAGAGTGACCTTTTTACTTAGAATTTTAATAGTGTTGCCACCTGTCTAAAAAACTATAAGATCCGCACCGTTCGTTGGATTACAAACGATGAGGTGTCAGATGAATGCGATTGGCCTCTAGAAAAGCATAATGTTGCTTTTTTTAATAGGGTTGCCACCTGATACGGAAAAATCTAAATTCCGCAGAATTCTGCGCTACGGTCTACAACTACAGAAAAATTCTGTGGTGTTGAGTTTACATTTACATGGCGATTTGTTAAGACAGATCGTGTCAGCTGACTCGGGTTTACATGCCGGTAGGTTTACGATCTTGACTAATTTCAGCTGTACGATGAGGAGTGTCCGGAAGCTGCAGAGAAAAAAGATGCCGCCTACAGGGCCACGCTGCGATTGGGGCAACGCGCGCTACATATGTGGGACCGCTATAGGTAGGGACACGATATCGAACGGAAAGTATCGATATGGTACTCATTTAAAGTATCGCTGTAAAAATATCGGAAAAAAAGACTCGATATCCCAAATATCGATGCCAAAATCCAAAAAAATGTCTCAACATTGGTGTCCTATGTAGGCCCCTGTGGTGTAGTGACTAGAAGTGTGCAAACCTCCGAGTGTATTTCTGCCAAGAAAAACAGCTTCTCATAAAAAAATACAATCGCCGTTTAGAGTCAGCGTAAAACAGTAGGGATCCCCTTTATGGCACAACACCAAGGCCACACGACAAATCGGAGGAGAAGCTCGGCCAAACACTAACATATTGTGTAAATGCCAAACTATTATTATTTTTACAAGTAGAGATGTTGATTTAAAACACCGAGGCCGTGGGTTCAAATCCCCCTACATCTACAATCTAAACTTTAGTACAAATTTCTCTTCTTTAAAGCGCAATTTATTTTGGGAAGAATTGTCAGTCACATGCAGACTCATTGCGTAAGTCGTAAATTGGGCTAAATTGTACGACTCGACAACATTGGCATTGTCTACAGTCGTGCCGAAATAAGTAAACGACGAAAAGCGTTGGAAACTATGCAGTGCTGCCAAGTTTTCCCGTTTTAATACTAGTCGAGTGGAAATTTTAGGCAATGAAGTGAAATTATCAATATGATTCGATCCTCGAAAATGAGGGTGATTATCTTATTAATTTGAGTTTTAGACATTCGATACGATATAGGGTTCTGGTACTCGATTCCAAAAAATATAGCTTTAAAACTATCGAGTAAAAGATATCGGTATAGAATGCCAAAAGTATCGATATGGTATCGTATCGTATCGAAATTCGTGTCCCTAGCTATAGGGATCTGAAGGGGGGGGAAAATCAAAGTACTGATAAAGAAAATTGATGGATAAATTCGAAATAATGAGTGAAAATGCGCAAATATGAACAGAAAAGCGTTTTACTCAGGTGTACGTAGTATATGAGTAACTTTCTTTCCTGCTCATTTTTCATACAAAAAATCTTTGCGTATTTTCATTTGACCACTCATTATTTCTTATTTATCCATCGATTTTCTTCATTGGTAATTTGACTTTGTTTTTGTAACAGAACAGGCTTTAGTACAGATGCAAAAATTTTAGACAGAATATGTTATTTTTAAAATTTTTCTTCTGCTAAAGTTTGATTTTTTTTTTTATTTTTTCATTAAAAAATAAAAAAAAAGGTCGAATGATTAAGTAATTTGTCAGAAACCTATCGGAAAGTGATGTACATACGGTTTATGGAGAATTGCATTAGCTTTCATTTGTCGTATTTTGTACTAAGAATTTTAAAGTGGTTCGTAAGATATGCGTGATTAAAAGGAACCAAATTTTTTTTGAGCTGAATAACGCTAAATTTGAAATATCTCGAAAGCGTATCCATAGAAAAAAAATTTACACGATTTTCGATAGAACATTTTTGCTGTAAACCAGCGTAATATAGAGACGTAATTCAAAATTTACTGTTTTGGAAAAAATTACGAAGATATGTGTCTTTCCATCTGTGTTTTGGTATACCAACTGTATGAATTGATCCAACGTTTTCCCACCAAATTGAAATTTTCTAGAAATTATGTATATTACACAGAAGGGAGGCAAAAATATCACAGCTGAACTTTTTTACTGGGAAAAGGTTTTGATAGCTGATCTAACTTAATTGGGATCTTCTTAATTTAATGACGTCCCGCGTTTTGCCAGATTAGCTCCGGTTTTACCTGAAAATTTGCTTAAATTTTAACATTTTTGTTAATAATTCTATCAGTTTTAAAGTTATTTTACTAAAATTTTTCACGTGACGGTTTTTCGGTTAAGGTAATAACATTTCCGAAAATCATCGAAATCGGCTCACTATAACATATAGCCTCCATGCAACTGATTGTTCAGATATGTGGTTTTACATTTTTGCATATTTATGCAGTTTCTATTGCACAAATGGGTTTTTAGTACCTTTTTTTGTGCTGTGAAAGCTGTTGTTCGTTAAAGTCAAAGTGACTGGGTAATATTTTCCAATAGGTGGTGGTCCATACCGCGTCATATTTGACATAAGTTGGCAAGACAAACAACACAAACTGAAACTCTACGCGCGCGATTGCTGTCGTATTAATTGATAAAAAAAAAAAACATCGAAAAATTAACAAAAACTTTTTTTCATCATATTATTGTCTTCTGAAACTCCCAAAGATGAAAAAATTTAAGAAGATTTGCAATAAATTAAACAACATATGTTTCGTTTGTGGTAATTCCATGCTACACAGTCACTTTGATCTTTACGAACAACAGCTTTCAACAGAAACCCACGAGGTAGGAGAAAGATTTCACCAATTCATTATGAGGTTCGATGCGCTGAAAAACCATTGAATTCTTATTTGGCGGACTTTTGCTGGTCGATCGCAGCAGGCAAAGGGTATTAAAAAACCATTCGTGCAGTAGAAACTGCCTCAAGTAATTTTTAAGCAATTTTGTTCATGATGCAATGATCGACCCTAACGGAATTAGTGTGGGACTACCTCTGAGGTACCACCTAAAAGAAAGAATTATAGAAATCGGTTATCCTTGGACCACAGATTATGCGGTAACATACATAAAAATACTATTCCGACGAATCCTTTTTTGAAGTCGTTTAAAAATATATCAGAATGGGATTGGAAAGAACCCAATAAAAGTAAGAAATATTACGAAATAAAATTTGAGTTATAAAGCAAACCCTTATATCTGAACAATCAGTTGTATGGGAGCCATATGTTATGTGTTTGGTCGTTGAGCTGTGATATT